CCCCGGTTTTTTCGAGCGGGAGGGGGGGGGGGGGGGGAGGGGGTTAGGGGAGGGGGGGGGTTTTGCCGGGGGAGGGGGGGGGGGGGGGGGAGGGGTTCCAGCAGGGGGGGGGGGGGATTTTTCGGAGGGGGGGGGGGGGGGGCGACCCCGGTTCCGGAGGAAAAGGTTGGCAATTTTCCACAGTAAAGCGGCGGTGGATCACGCTCTCTCTGATGATGCTATGTTGATGCTGATGCTGAGGCTAATGATGTTGCTGATGTTGATGATGAGGATTACGATGAGATGCTGATGCTGATGCTGCTGCTGCTGATGATGATGATGATTCTGATGATAATGCTGATGCTGCCGATGAAGGCGTCGGCGCGGCCAGCGGCCCCCCCACCCCCCCAGGTCTGAAGACGACGAGCCGTCCCGCTTTGCCGCGGCACCCTCCCCCCCCAATCGTCGGAGACAGCAGGCCCCCGCCCCTCTTGCTTATACTACTGGTGGCCACCATATCTCTCCACAGCGTTGCGCATCCGCCTGCGCGGCCCCCTTTTGATTTCGGTCTACTCCCCTTTCGTCTTCCCTCCCTTCCTCCATCCCTGCGTACCTCCTGCTCTGCTTCGGTTGCCCCGAAGAACTCTCTTTCCTTGCCTCCCCTGAGATCTGGGCGCTGCATTGCTTTCACGCCTGGCGGTTTCGCCCGGTTTCGGGCTCCGGGGCCATCACAGATCGGACCGGCTCAAGCCTGATATTGCCACAAACCCCGACCTTGGAGGACAAGTGGGCGTGACTCGCGAGGATGAGAAAAGCAAAGAAGAGGATGCCTCTAGGGCGCATAACTCTGATTCCTGTGTTGTCCGTTTGACGCTGTGCCGCTTTAAGGCGCATTCTGTTGGTTCCCGTGTTGTCCGTTTGATGCTGTGCCACTGTGTCGGGGCGCCTCCGACCATCTTGGAGCCCTGTTGGGCAATCTTCGGGCCCTGGGGCGTTTCCGACTATCTCGGTGCCCTCCTAAGCAGTTTTGGAGCCCTCTTGGGGGCCTCGGGGGGCTTCCTGGAGACCTCTTGGAAGCTTCTTAGGGGCCGCTTGGGACCTCCTGGGAGTTTTTTGGGCGGAGAGCTCAACATGTCGGTCCCTGCCCCCTCTCTGGGGCCCCTCTTGAAGCGTTCCTGAGGCCTTCCTGGGCCGTTTTGGAGGCCTCTTGGGCCGTCTGGGGGGCGTCTTGGGCCGTCTGGGCGTCCTCCTGGGGGGTCTCTTGAGCCGTTTTGGGGCGATCTTTGGGGCCTCTTGGGCCGTCTTGGAGCGTCGGGAGACCGATAAGGCGAAAACGTGAAAAACCTTCAAAAACCTTAGGACAACTCGTGAATTTTGACTCTGGGGGCTCTCTTTGGGGGCCTCTTGGAGGCCTCCCAGGTCGTCTTGGAGGCTTCCTGGGCCGTCTGGAGGCCATCTTGAACGGTCTGGATTGACCTGTTGGCGACTCGTGGTTCTCTTGGACAATCTTGCGGACCACCCGTGCCTTTCGGAAGCGCGTCTGCAGAAATGGGGCCGTCTTCCGCAAGCTTCTGCCGGCGTTCCGCCCGTGACCGGGGAGGGGGCTGGAGGGGGTCCCCCCCAGACCCCCCAGAGGAAACTAAACAGGAGCCCCTCCTCAAGGTCGGGGAAAAATGCCCAATGGCTCCGGTCGTGATGCTCCGCGATGTTGCATGTGATTCGCAACATCGGATCTCCTCACGGTCTCTCGGGAGCGTACAGGGGAGGGGGCGAGGGCCATGTGTGTAAGCGGGCGACGAAATCTCCCCGACGTCATGGCCCCCGTTTCCTCGATGCGTCTGTGGACCCTTTGTCTCTGCTGAATTGTCTCTTGCTGTACTTGATGGGGTCGGCAGTCGAGAACGAGGTTTCGTCGGAAAGGTACGTAATACCAGATCGCGAAAAACAGGTCTTGATATGCACTGTGAAGGGAACACACAAATACAATATCACAGGCCGTCTCAGAACTCACAGCTCAGAGCTACCAGTGTTGATTATAACCACGTTGGAAACATTTCTCTTCGCAAGTAAGCCCAGCAAAAATCCAGCAATATGGAACGTTGGGTACACCAGCGATCGCACACAGTTTAGCTGAATCAGGGAAACCCCAGGTCAGACTTGGAACATATCTGATACTGGTATCTGGCTACTCGCGCAATCTGATATTGCCACGAACCCCGACCTTGGAGGAAAAATGAGCGTGACTTGCGAGGAAGAGGGCGCATAACGTTGATTCCCGTGTTGTCAATTTGACGCTGTGCCGCTTTAAGGCGCGTTATGCTGGCTCCTGTACTGTCCGTTTGATGCTGTGCCACTTTGTCGGGGCGTCGCCGACCATCTTGGAGCACTGCTGTTGGGCAGTCTTCGGGCCCTGGGGCGTCTCCGACCATCTCGGGGCCCTCTGAGGCAATCTTGGGGCCCTCTTGGAGGCCTCGGGGGGCTTCCTGGGGTCCTTTTGGAAGCTTCTTGGGGCCTCTTGGAGGCCTCTTGGGGCCTCGTGTTTTTTGGAGGGGGGCGGAGAACCCAGAATGTCGGTCCCTACCCCCCCTCTTGGGCCCCTCTTTTGAGCGTTCCTGAGGCCTTCTGGAGCCGTCTTGGAGGCCTCTTGGGCCGTCTTGGGGGCGTCTTGGACCGTCTGCGCACTACTCTCTTGGGGGCCTCCGAGGCCGCCTCGGGGGGATCTTTCGGGCCTTTGGGGCCGTCTTGGAGCGTCAGGAAGCCGACAAGGCGCACGGGCGAAAAATCTTCAGAAACCCATGGGAAATCAATGAATTCTGCCTGTCGGAACCCTCTTGGAACCCCTCTGGGAAGCCTCGCGGCGGTCCGAACAGCAGGCGACTCGTGGCCCCCCTGGACCATCCTACGGACCATCCTGGGGCCGCCCGTGCTGCACGGAAGCGTGCCTGCCGAAACGGGGCCGTCCTCCGCTGGCTTCCGCCGGCGTGCGCTCCGTGGCCAGGGGAGCACTACACGGGAGCCCCTCAGACTTGGAACATATCTGATACAGTCGAGGCGTTGACCTAAGGAACCCTAAATAAGGAACGAGGCCCCTCTTTTCCATAAGTTGCACTTCGATTTCCCATGCAAAAACCTAAGGGAAACCCGAGGCAAACTGTAAAACAATCAAGGAACACCGAGCCCCTCCCAAACGAAAAGCGTTCCTTCTTCAAGGCCCCGACTGTACTCGTATACGGCTGATCGCTTAAAAAATGAATCCCCTGAACCGTTTCAAAGCGCAACCGGCAGCGGCACACAACTTGTGATGTCCTGTTGTGCAGAGAATCCGCAATCCTCGAACGAGGAATCACAAACCGCAGCTCCTGCGTTTACGACTGACAAACATGATCTTTACAGAAGAGGCCTCCAAGAGGCTCTCAAAAGGGGTTCCCACCAGGCCCTCGAACGAGAGGACTGTAGATGCTCGAGACATGCACCACCCGCGAAGCGAGAGGAATCTCGAGACATGCTCGGAGGTGACGTGCTGAGCGGCAGCGTTTTCTGGCGAACGCCTTAATGATACACGCGTCCAATGTAACCCTTATTACATAATTGCTACTGCTACACGTTGGGTTCTTTTACATTCTCATGTCCCCCCCTTCCCCCCAAGCCCCCCCATGGAGTCGCGCCGCATGACCAAGATTTCCCCGCCTCTTTGGGGGCCCAGTAGCGTACAAAAGCGATTGGAACATCCCCTGGGGCCTCCTGGGGGTCCAGGAGAGCCTCAAGACGGCTCAACACAACTTCCCGAAGACCCCAGACGGCCCCAAGCAGGCCCAAACTTGCCCCAAGAGGGACCAAGAGGCTCCCAAGATGGCCCTGGAGGGCCACAAGGAGGCCCCCCAGACCATCTCCAGAGGCAAAAAAACATTGGCTTTCCCTTGGGTTTTGCAATATCTTTGCGTTCTCGCCTTTTCGATTGAGTGGCGCGTTGTCCATGCTCATCGGAATTTGAACTTGGCGTTGCCTTGTGCTGGCGCGGTGGGTCGCGGGTAGTTCGCGAGCGGGTCGCGGGGTCGCGGGTGTGTCGCGGGGTGGGTCGCGGGGTGGGTCGCGGGTGGGTCGCGGGGTGGGTCGCAGGTGGGTCGCGGGCCGGGTCGCGGGCCGGACGACGCAACAAACCAAGCAGAATTCTCGCCGTGGATCCCCACTTCAGCGCATCCAGGGACAGTGAATGACCGTTCGGCCCCCTCACTCTGACTGATTGGGTCGCGGGGTGGGCCGTGGGGTGGGTCGCGTGTGGGTCGCGGGGTGGGTCGCGGGCGGGTCGCGGGGTGGGTCGCGGGTGGGGGTCGCGGGGTGGGTCGCGGGTGGGTCGCGGGTGGGTCGCGGGGTGGGTCGCGGGGTGGGTCGCGGGTGGGTCGCGGGGTGGGTCGCGGGGTGGGTCGCGGGGTGGGTGGCGGGGTGGGTCGCAGGGTGGGTCGCGGGTGGGTCGCGGGTGGGACGACGACAACATACAAACAAACAAACAACAACACAACAAGCAGAATCCTCACCACGGATCCCCACTTCAGCACGCACCCAGGGACAATGAATGACCGTTCGCCCTCACTCTGATGTTGCTTCGCGCTGCCCTGTGCCGACACGTGGTGAATGCTCAGTGCCTCCGTGGACATTCGCACGCTCGTCCCAGCGCTGGAACGGGGAAGGCGCTGCCGCCCCGGGGGCGCTGGCAACGCCGCGGGGCGGGCAGAACGAGACGGTAGACCAGCGCGGCAGACGAGCAGGGCAAACCACTCAAGGCCCAGTCTTTGCGTGCTCCGGACGTGCACCCCGCGAAGCGACTGGAATCAGCCCCGGGCAGCCCACGGGCCCCTCCCGGGGGTCTATCCTCACCCGCCGTTGTCTCGGCGGCCCCCCTCGGACCGACACGATCCGCCACCTCGGCGTGCGCCGTCTGTTCCCTCTCCCCCCCCCGCCCGCCGCCCCGCGCTGGTGGAGGACGACCGGGGTGCGCAGGTCGGTGCCCCATGGTCCCGCTCAGCTCAGCCTCGGCGGTCCGTCGCCGTCGTTGTCGTCGTCACCGTCGTTGTCATCGTCGTCGTCGTCGACGACGACCGTCGTCGTCACAGCCGCAGTCGCCATCGCCGTTGTCGTCACAGCCGCCGCCGTCGCAGTCGCCGTCGTCGCGGTCGTCGCTGCCACCGCCAGCGTAGTCGCCGTAGTCGTGGTCGTCATCGCCGCCGTCGTAGTCGTTGCCACCGTTGCAATCGTCGTAATCGTCGCCGCCGTCGTAGTTCTCATCTCGCTCTAGAACTCCCGCCCGAATTCCCGCCCCCCCCAGAGCTCCCAAGACTCTGATCTGCCACTGTCCTGCCTGGCACGTTGAGGCATGGTAACATGCCAAGCCGCAGGAAGTTGTTAAAGACGGCCCTGGTGTATCGTTAGCACCGCACCGTTCTGAATTAATTATGGAGGGAGGTTTTCGCCGAACGATAATTTTAGCACCGCGCGAACTCTGGTCTCACGGTTTTCTCAAGATGTTCGTCGTTCTCGGTGGGCTTCGTCTGTCTGAGATGTGAGAAAGCGGGCTGCGGTCTGAGCAACTACAGAACTGAATGCACGTCCAATGAAGGAGGAATATTTGTTCCCAACCATCCTGTGGTGTTGGGTCCTCGTTTTGAAGAGACGGTGCCCGCGTCCTCTCCTCCTCCTCTTCCCCCTCCTCCCTCCTCCCCCTCCTTGCCTCTGCTCTCGGCACACCTCTCACGCGTTTCGTAGCCCCATAGGGAGCTCCACCGAAGGCCCCAGTGGGGGTGTCCGCATGCGGTTCCCCCACCCAGGGCAGCGTTTCGTAGCCCCATAGGGAGCTCCACCGAAGGCCCCAGTGGGGGTGTTCGCATGCGGTTCCCCCACCCAGGGCAGCGTTTCGTGGCCCCATAGGGAGCTCCACCGAAGGCCCCAGTGGGGGTGTTCACATGCGGTTCCCCCACCCAGGGCAGCGTTTCGTAGCCCCATAGGGAGCTCCACCGAAGGCCCCAGTGGGGGTGTTCGCATGCGGTTCCCCCACCCAGGGCAGCGTTTCGTAGCCCCATAGGGAGCTCCACCGAAGGCCCCAGTGGGGGTGTTCGCATGCGGTTCCCCCACCCAGGGCAGCGTTTCGTGGCCCCATAGGGAGCTCCACCGAAGGCCCCAGTGGGGGTGTTCGCATGCGGTTCCCCCACCCAGGGCAGCGTTTCGTGGCCCCATAGGGAGCTCCACCGAAGGCCCCAGTGGGGGTGTTCGCATGCGGTTCCCCCACCCAGGGCAGCGTTTCGTGGCCCCATAGGGAGCTCCACCGAAGGCCCCAGTGGGGGTGTCCACATGCGGTTCCCCCACCCAGGGCAGCGTTTCGTGGCCCCATAGGGAGCTCCACCGAAGGCCCCAGTGGGGGTGTCCACATGCGGTTCCCCCACCCAGGGCAGCGTTTCGTAGCCCCATAGGGAGCTCCACCGAAGGCCCCAGTGGGGGTGTCCACATGCGGTTCCCCCACCCAGGGCAGCGTTTCGTGGCCCCATAGGGAGCTCCACCGAAGGCCCCAGTGGGGGTGTTCGCATGCGGTTCCCCCACCCAGGGCAGCGTTTCGTAGCCCCATAGGGAGCTCCACCGAAGGCCCCAGTGGGGGTGTTCGCATGCGGTTCCCCCCACCCAGGGCAGCGTTTCGTGGCCCCATAGGGAGCTCCACCGAAGGCCCCAGTGGGGGTGTTCGCATGCGGTTCCCCCACCCAGGGCAGCGTTTCGTGGCCCCATAGGGAGCTCCACCGAAGGCCCCAGTGGGGGTGTTCGCATGCGGTTCCCCCACCCAGGGCAGCGTTTCGTAGCCCCATAGGGAGCTCCACCGAAGGCCCCAGTGGGGGTGTTCGCATGCGGTTCCCCCACACAGGGCAGCGTTTCGTGGCCCCATAGGGAGCTCCACCGAAGGCCCCAGTGGGGGTGTTCGCATGCGGTTCCCCCACCCAGGGCAGCGTTTCGTAGCCCCATAGGGAGCTCCACCGAAGGCCCAGTGGGGGTGTTCGCATGCGGTTCCCCCACCCAGGGCAGCGTTTCGTGGCCCCATAGGGAGCTCCACCGAAGGCCCCAGTGGGGGTGTTCGCATGCGGTTACCCCACCCAGGGCAGCGTTTCGTAGCCCCATAGGGAGCTCCACCGAAGGCCCCAGTGGGGGTGTTCGCATGCGGTTCCCCCACCCAGGGCAGCGTTTCGTGGCCCCATAGGGAGCTCCACCGAAGGCCCCAGTGGGGGTGTTCGCATGCGGTTCCCCCACCCAGGGCAGCGTTTCGTAGCCCCATAGGGAGCTCCACCGAAGGCCCCAGTGGGGGTGGTCGCATGCGGTTCCCCCACCCAGGGCAGCGTTTCGTGGCCCCATAGGGAGCTCCACCGAAGGCCCCAGTGGGGGTGTCCGCATGCGGTTCCCCCACCCAGGGCAGCGTTTCGTGGCCCTATAGGGAGCTCCACCGAGGGCCCCAGTGGGGGTGTCCGCATGCGGTTCCCCCACCCAGGGCAACGTTTCGTGGCCCCATAGGGAGCTCCACCGAAGGCCCCAGTGGGGCTGTCCGCGTGCGGTTTCCCCAGCCAGGGCAGCCCCATAGGGAGCTCCACCGAAGGCCCCAGTGGGGGTGTTCGCATGCGGTTCCCCCACCCAGGGCAGCGTTTCGTGGCCCCATAGGGAGCTCCACCGAAGGCGCCAGTGGGGGTGTTCGCATGCGGTTCCCCCACCCAGGGCAGCGTTTCGTGGCCCCATAGGGAGCTCCACCGAAGGCCCCAGTGGGGGTGTTCGCATGCGGTTCCCCCACCCAGGGCAGCGTTTCGTAGCCCCATAGGGAGCTCCACCGAAGGCCCCAGTGGGGGTGTTCGCATGCGGTTCCCCCACCCAGGGCAGCGTGTCGTGGCCCCATAGGGAGCTCCACCGAAGGCCCCAGTGGGGGTGTTCGCATGCGGTTCCCCCACCCAGGGCAGCGTTTCGTGGCCCCATAGGGAGCTCCACCGAGGGCCCAGTGGGGGTGTTCGCATGCGGTTCCCCCACCCAGGGCAGCGTTTCGTCGCCCCATAGGGAGCTCCACCGAAGGCCCCAGTGGGGGTGTTCGCATGCGGTTCCCCCACCCAGGGCAGCGTTTCGTGGCCCCATAGGGAGCTCCACCGGAGGCCCCAGTGGCTGCCCTCGCATGCGGTTCCCCCACCCAGGGCAGCGCTTCGTGGCCCCATTGGGAAGCCCCGAAAAGCCCCTTGGGCGGCAGTAGGCATGCGGTTCCCCCACCAGGCAGCGTT